CCAAAGTTCAACGAAGTTTTCGCAGAAAAATAACATCAGAAATCACAGCCGCGGTTTGCTGCGCTGTTCCGCGACGAAAACAAGCTTGAGCAACGGCGATGTCGAATGGTGCACACTCAGTAAGTAATCCTACAATTTTTTGTTTGTAGCGTAGTTTATATGGATTATTTCCAAAAAAAATATATGTATTTTGGAAATGTTGAGTCGGATTAGTCTAGAATCGATTAATTTTATGGAAGAAAACCTTTCAAACAGCCGTAGTCAGTAAACTTCACACGTGTCGGGCTGTGATTGGCTGTGATTCCTACAAAATTGATTCTTAAAGAACGGAATGTATCTACCATCTTATAGGGAGATCGACTGTATGTAAAAGTTCACGTTACACCTTACACCTTGTGAAGGCACACCAGTTGCGGAACACTGCTCTAAGCTATGGGCGATAACAGCAAGAGCAATCGATATGACCAGTCCTAAAACATCCAGTACAAGGCATGTTTGAGTTGCTGCTCTTCCATATTCAAAAGCTGCTACCCACCTTACAATAGTTCTGTATGGAAGAGTATGCTCACTGACAACTTCTATGAGTTGTGTATGACATTCCCTTGCATTCTACCTGTGAAGCATTGCAATTATTATGTACACACATTGTTCCACTTGACTCACATCCATACTGAACGACGGTTGAAAACCAACTGACTTTGTGCTTTGCTTCCGTTGACATTTTGGAACATCCACACCATCTAGCAGTGTCATTGTGCAACAATATGTCTCAATGTCATAGTTGTACATTGGAAAATATGGATTGCAGCATGGAATTCCACAGAAGAAAAATGTTGCCACGACTTAGTAAGTGACCCATCCATGTACTGTACAGTAAGAACCCTGCTTAATGTGGGGGATGCATTCCTAGATGACAAAGCGCTAAACGAAACAGTGTTAAACAAGATCATTTTAACATAGAGTAAATAAGGAAAGGGGAACATGCAACCAAAAATAAACAAACTTTACTTTAATTTTAAGTTGTTTTTATATTAATTTGCATAATAATATATGTTAAATAACATATAAACATATGCACACAGAAATGTAAAGTTCATTTTTTGTGATGTAGGTCCTGGCTTTTCTGAAATTCTTGTTTTTTGCGATAAAATTGTGTAGTTTCATTTGTCGCTTAAGCAAATGTTGGTAGCAAAAGATCACATCCAAAACACCTCGTTTTGCTTTTGCACCCCTTTCAAAATCTAGATCATTTGCTACAATTTGATCAACAATTTCAGTTATTTTTTTGTAGAAAAAGGCTGGCAGAATTACTATGTAATAAAAAGTAAAATACATCTTGATTCTAAAGAAAGGTTGTCTCTGCAATGGAAATAGTTGTTCCTGGTGATTGGACATGGCAAGCAAAATTGGACTCGTATCCAGATGTATTTTAATTTTTATTAAATTTCAGTTATTATTACCAAACTTTTACTAAGGAAATCTGTAGAGAAATTTTTTGGATTCTTCATTTTCAGAATCTCTGTTTTCCAGTTCTACACGCATTCCTTGTTCTCCCAGTTCTTGAAGATCATCGTTGGTAAGGCTCTCACCAAAAACCTGCAATAACAACACTATGGATGCCATAGGCAATATTGACTTCGCTTGGCAAGAATTAACTGAGAAATGCATGAACGAAATGTGGAAGACGTTATGGCTGAAGGTATCCAAGAATTCTCAGCGAGAAGAGTCTATCGCTGTATCATTAGGTTGACTAAATTGTCAGCCTAATCGATACAGCAGGATTAGAAGATGTAGATTAGCAGGATATTGAGGAGTTACTATATTTTTTTATTTGTTTTTTGAAACCGTGTCCTGTTTTATAATTCTGGCATAGTAAACACTAGTATTGTGTTGTATTCCAAAGACACATGGCAAGTCTTCCATTTAATATCTTTATTTGTTGAGTCGATACGGCACATTGTTTTGTACTTGTTTCAGGCTTTGCCCCTCTTCAGTCAACTATAATACAATATATATTTTTTATCTATTACAGTAGAGAACTTACATAAAAAACAATGAGTACACAAATGATATATAGACGTACTGTACCTTTGGTTACACTTTGTATAATTTAAAATCTTGTAAAATTTGCTTTAATCCTTTTATGGTTAAACCAGTATACATTATAATTTAAAAACTTCCATAAACCTTCCCTTTCTTTGACACAATACAACGATTAAAAATTTTTAGTTGTTTCCACCCCCTTTATACTCCCCTTCCTTTTCTGGCGTTTGCACAGGTATCTTTGTAATCCTCGTATTGTGTCAAAAAAAGGGAAGGTTTATGGAAGTTTTTAAATTATAATGTATACTTGTTTAACCATAAAAAGATTAAAACAGATTTTACAAGATTTTAAATTATACAAAATGTAATCAAAGGTAAAGTATGTCTATATATCGTTTGTGTACTCATTGTTTTTTATGTAAGTTCTCTACTGTAATAGATAAAAAAAAATATATTGTATTATAGTTGACTGAAGAGGGGCAAAGCCTGAAACAAGCACAAAACAATGTGCCGTATCGACTCAACAAATAAAGATATTAAATGGAAAACTTGTCATGTGTCTTTGGAATACAACACAATACTAGTGTTTACTATGCCAGTACTATATTTTTTTCAAAATTGCACAAAACAAGCATAGATTTAAAGGAAGTACAGCACTACAATACATTGCCACTTTTTGCTGATTGGTTCATGTTCGTAAATAATCATATTATATATGAATCATCAATGGAATGATGCAATAATTTAAATCAGCAAACAGCGTAAATTTTGAGCTTTTTTTTAAGGCTCCAAGCAGACTGCGTTATACCAAATCAGCCTTAAGCAGGGTCTTACTGTATATATATATATACATATATACAGTAAGACCCCGCTTAACCAGTCAGTTGCCCGCTTAACTATATATATATATATATATACATATACACCAAGACATACAGCTATACTTCAAATTAGTAGTGCTGACAGTAGTGACACCACAGAAAAGATGTCACTAGCAGATCTTGGCATATAAAAAGTATGCTGGATTGAACTAACATTTCTAGAAATGGGCAGAATCAGGAGTGAGCTAGAAACAAGTTCATGATTATAGCATAACTAGATTTAGCAAAAATTCTGTGTTACTGAACATGGCTTCATATTGCTTTGACAAGTGATATAGACATTGGCAGAAGTGTGCAGCTGCAGGAAGGGTTAACGTTGAATGTGGTGTGGTGTATGGGTTTGTGTTGTATAATAAAATCTTTATCAAAAGTTCAGTTTATTTTTAACTTTTTGTCTTGATAAACTGATATAGAAGATAGTTTTACAAAATAATTTTAAAAAATATATCATTCTATCAAAAATGCACTTAGTTTTAATCACTAGTTTAATATGTACTTTGTTTTTTAGTAGTTTATCCATTGAAATTTGAAATTTTAATCTAACAATAATTCTATTGCTTATAACTCTATATTCATTCTAGTGTTTTAATTCTATGAATTAAATATAATATATATATATATATATATAATTGTGTATAATAATTATTTTAGGCTGCCTTGAGTGAGCCAATAGTCTTAGAAGAATTAGATACAAGTAATGGAGTATTATTTCCGTTTTATGATCCAGATGTACAGCTTCTGTATTTATGTGCTAAAGTAAGTATATTAACTTTATTTCATACAGTAACTAGATGTAATTACTGAATTATGGAGTGAAAAATTTTTTATTTTGAATACCAAAAATTGCGTGAATGAATAAAGATTGATTTAATTAATTTGAGCTATATTCCTGGAATGTGTACACAAATGAATATTCTTACAAATTAAGTCTAACTATTCCTTAGACATACATTAAAATTTAGGGGATGCATAAATTATTAATGTAATAATTTTTAAAAATTTTCACTTCTTTCTGAATGTTCTAAAATATCTTAGTTTATATAAAACTTTCAAGCAAGCATTTGAAATCATTCTTTTGTTAGATGCATTAGTTCATATTTTAAAATATCTTATTCAAATATTCTGTTCCATAAGCTGTTCTAAAAAGATAGCAAATTCAAAATGTCAAACTGATGATGACTCTAGCAGAACTAAAAACACTTTTTGTACAAATAAATAATTTTTGGTAACCTGAAGAAAAGGTTTAAAATATCTGTAGTGCATTTTCCTCTTTCTTTACAAGGAAAAGTCAGACTTGGATGGTGTTTGTTGTGTTTTGTTAATGTTTGTGTTTTCCTTTTGGAGTTGTTCTAGTTCTGTGTTTATCCAATATATAACTCCAAATGAATACATCAGTACTAGGATGACATAGGTGGTGGTAGTTTTAAGTGTTTTTTGTATGAGTTTAATTTGCTATTGTATTCTTTTGTAAATTTTGTTTTACTTGTGTATCTTCTGTGAGTTTGATCTGTTGTCGTTGAAAGTCTACAAATATTTACAACAGATATTACATCTCCATTTCTAAATAAAATCATCATTCTTTGAAAATTCTTTTTCTGTATGAAGTGTTCTGCATTTGTCTAGACTAAATTCCATTTGAACATCAATGTTGATTGTAACTTCTAATAGGTGATTTAGCTGTGCTTGTGTGAATGCATAGTTTTGTCATCTATGTACAGTACATGAGATGAGATATGTATTGTTTCGTTTTTGTAGCTGTATTTAGTAAAGATAATTCAACACCTTAAATTTCTCTAGCAAGTAGTATTTAAATGCACAAAACATAGTATTTTGTGTATTCAGTTCTGAAACTGATGATGATTCATAAATGGGGTCAAAAATGTTTTGTGCATTAATTAAAATACTACTTGCCAGAGTAATTTAAAACATCAAGTTTTAACTGTGTGTTTCTTCTCCAGTTCCTCTCTGGTTTAGTTATTTAACCTATATGGACAGTGGGTTCAAGATCAGACAAAATCAATGTGATCTTAGTGTCCCTGGAAAATGCCTCACCTTTGTGTATTTGGCTTGTTTTAATGTCTGTATTGTGAAGTCTGAGGTAAAGTGTTCTGCAGTGTTTGTTTTCTAAAAAATGTAATGAGTGTTAGATTACAGTGGTATTTCGTACATTGAACAACTCTAACTTTGAACACTTCAGAATTTGAACACTAAATTTGACAAAAATTTGCCTCGATTTCAAACAATGCTTCATAGTTCTAACTGTGCATGCACTGAAAAAAATGTCCCAGAACGAAAAATGCAAGTCATCTCTCACTCTTGCATTATGCTCATGTGTTTCAGTGCTTTTTTGCTTTGTTTTTGATATGTTTGGTTATATATATTGTGTTTTTTTTAATCAGTTTTTAACAATTTCTTCTTGCAATTTTTCATTGTTGACATCTTTTGAATGCCCCATACATTGTTTATCTATTAGTTCAAAATTTCCCAAACAAAACATTTTAAACCATATTTGCATATTGAAAGCTTAGGAGCATCTTCTCCATACACCTTACAAATCTCTTTTTACTGTTTGTACAGTGTTATATCCTTTCCAAAATTCAGAGTAGTATGCCAAATATGCTTTTTATCTGAAGACATTTCAACTCAATTTTATTCAAACAAAATATGAAGTGAAAAGTTTAAAATTAGCTTCTAAACAAGAATACAATTTCACTTCAGCAATAATGTGTTAAATTTCACAATGGTTATAATTAAATCATATATCTATGTTAAGTAAAGACAGCTGTTAAAAATTGGCAAAAACTTTCTGTTCAACTCATTATAACTTTTACTTATTAACTGTGGAAGCAACAAAGTCTAAAAGGAAGGTTATAGTATCAAGAATTGAAAGTAAAAAGGAACTTATCATGCAACATGAAAGTGGTGTACACATGTTGGATCTGGTAGCTATGTTTAAGATATTAAAGTTGACAGAGTGCAATCAATAAATGTAATTTTTATTTTATTATACATTGTTTATGTATTTTATTTATTGTTTTCAAGTTTTAATTTTTATTATTGTCTTATTTTAATTTTTTATTATTGTCTTATTATTGTCTTATTATGTAATTGTCTTATTTTTACATTAAATAATGTGTATTTGCAGTTCAGTACTTTGAACAATTCAGAGTTTGAATGACGACCTGGAATGAATTAAGTTCGAAGTACAAGGCATCACTGTATTTTGTATTGGTGTAGTGCAGTGCTGCCCAACTAGTTGATTCAAACTACCAATCAATTGTGACATGCTTTCAAGTTTATTGCAAAAACTCTGTTGCATATACATTATGAATTTATGATATTTAATATTCATGATTTGAATTTGAAGTCCAAAGATTGTATTTGGAAATATTCAAAAGAAAAATGCCCAATTCTGACAAATGTAGAATAAAAAATTGTGATATTTTGGTTTTACATATTTGGCATAATTCACATTTCCAACTTAAATATTTCAAAATAAAATATCAGAAATTCTTTAACTGATGATTAACTTAACCAGTATATAGATTTTCTTTATTATATACAGTGGGTGATCGGTTAATGAACTTAATCTGTTCCAAGACCATGTTTCCTACCTGAATTGTTCGTTAACTGATTATTGGTTTACCATAAATTTTTATGGTAATTTGATTAATTCATTCTGGAGACCCCCAAAAAATAATAACAAATTATATACTTTCCTTACTTCATTTATTTACATGTAATAACAAACTAAAAGCAATCTCTCCATTTTTTCATGGATGGCACATCTTTGTTTCTCAGATGTGATTTTTGTTGCTCCTTTATCTGCTTGAGTCTTTTTGATTATATCTTTCTTAGCTAAGATTGTGCTTACTGTAGACCTGTTGAAGTCATATTGCCTGCTAACATCAGACATTTTTCCACTCTCTACCTTGGCTATTATCTCTTGCTTAGTCTCTAAAGTGAACACATCTTGACACTCCACTCTTTTTAGGCCCCATAATATTATCAGTTTTCTTAAATAAAAAGTTCAGAAAAGCACTTATAAAAATTCAGAGAACAGAAATTAACTAGTGCAAAAAGGTTATGTATACATCTATGAATACTTTATGGAACGAGACGTTCCATAAAGTATTCATAGACATGGCTGTATAGCCAAGTGATCAAGGTGGCAGCCTACCACTCTGGGGGGACCTGGAATCGAAACCAGATGGGTCAAAAAATCCCCAGGAATTTTTCGGGGATGGTCTGGATGTTTTGATATGTCAGGCCCCATTTCTCATAACCTGGCCATCCCATTGCAGGCCTGGCCAAACCCATAATGGGCCTACTAAAAGAGGTCCTCTTAGTGCCCACAGGGTGGGAAAAATTTAAAAAAAAAACATTCGTAGATGCCATTAAAATATAGTTTTACAAATGTTGAATGCAACATCGCTTCTTATGTTTGTTCTGTAAGGTGTTCGTTATCCGAACATAAAAATCTTTCACGAAAGTGTTCATTGTCCAATTTGTTCAGTCTAAACTGTTCATTGACCAATCACCCACTATAATCCCTACTTTGAAAAAATTGTCAAATCTGGACAATGTCAAATATATTAATAAATTATAACTAAATATATATTTATTATCATTAATATTTTTTCCTTTTTCTCAATTATTGTACTTCTTGAATTNTTGGCACTAGAGTGAGGCATTAGGCACCATCTCATATTAAAATTAATAATTATAATAATTAATTAATTTAAATTAAACTGGAAGAAAAGAATTGGCTCGAAGTGGAACTCAAATACAGTCGACCCCCCATAACACTGTTGATTTTTCCGTTTTATATGAATTCCATGTTGTACGAGTAACTTAGGTTTTACAAATACGTGAGCCGTTCACAGCCTGGCACACGTATTTGTAAAATCTAAGTTACTCGTACAACATGGAATTCATATAAAATGGAAAAATCAACAGTGTTATGGGGGGGTCGACTGTATGCAACTCCCGCTTACCATGCGGACACATTGACAGTTACACCACCTGGACCTTCAGTCTGATCTTATCGTCCAGTATATATAAGTCTAACACCGCGGATTCTGTAATAAACATATGGTTATTACAGCGAATAGGGCTGTATTACGTAATAACTGTATTTGACAGTTATTACGGTTGTTATTAAATTTAGCCTGATCATTTACGACAGTTGTGGGTGTATATTTGCTTAATATCAGGTTTCGTTTGTTGTGTATATTTACAAATTGAAACTTTCATAAAGCTAATTTATTAGATAAATACTGATATCTTTATTCTTTCTGAACTAAAATTCATTTTGGCTTTAAATACAGTGATACAGCCTTCATCAGTTAGCTACTTATTGGTTAGGTACAAACTTGTTATAAGACACAATAGTATAATTTACACCATGTCTAAAATTATGTATACTATAACATTAAAACACCATAAATAGCTAGCTGTCAATAACTGCACTTACTTATAACTACATAATTGTATTTTTCATTTACAATCATAACTTTATGGCAATACAAACTTATTAATATAAATGCTTAATAGTATTTATTTACCTTTTTTGATAAAGTTCCTGTACACTTTTGCTGTTATTACATGTAATTGTTGTTCAATGTTACATATATCTTCATTATTCTCCAAATAGATAGCATTTACAGCCCTATTCACTTGTTGCATCTTATATGCCCATGTCCTATACAGCAGGTATAAATTGCAAACTTTTACCAAAGAGTAATAAACTGTCA